CCGCCTTGAAATATTAAATTCAAACAACAATAATTGACAATATTAATGGCTAATATATAAATAATATTTCAATAACATGATAAACAGAATATTGACATAATCACATTTAACGCATAAGATATACAAAGGAAAACAACTAATAATAAAGTATACATTTAAACTCTGACGTGATTACATAGACACAAAAATAAAAAATAATTTAACTAAGATAGTTATTTATATTGCATTGGTCACGCTTGACCTGTTACATTGCCTTCGAATGGTAAAGGACACAAATTTCGCACCGCTCGTTTGCATTGACCATCGCTAGTGCGGACGACGGCTACTCTCGCTACTCCATTCGCATCTGGGTGTGTTTCGATTACTCGATCGATTTTCCAACGTAATGGGGGAAGATTGTCCTCTCGAATTAATACAATTGTCCCAATAGCAAGATCCGGACCTTTAGAAACGCACCATTTCTCCTTTGCTTGTAACGTACTCAAATACTCGCGACTCCAGCGGCGCCAGAACTGTTGAGCTAATTGTGTCACTCTTCTCCACCTCGTCAGCCTATTTGGAGGTTTGGTGGACACGTCGAGTTCTGGTAACGCGGCTGGGATGTTACCGATAAGAAAATGACCGGGCGTAAGAACAGAAAGGTCAGTCGGATCAGAGGACATAGGAGTGATGGGACGCGAGTTTAATATAGCCTCAACGCGCACAAGTACAGTGTATAGTTCTTCGTAGGTGAGAGAAGCATTACCTAGTGTTTTATACAAATGTGTTTTTACCGATTTAACGGCAGCCTTCCAGAGGCCACCGAAATGTGGCGAACGTGGTGGTATAAAATGCCAACGCGTACCAAATTTATTTAACGTATTTTGTAGTTTCTCCAAATGAGCTTTCGATAAAAATAATTCCTTTAGCTCTTGTAACTGGCGGTTCGCACCGACGAAGTTGGTGGCATTATCAGAATAGATATCTAAACATATACCGCGACGGTCGAAAAAGCGATTGAGCGCGTTTAAGAATGCTTCAGTCGTTAAACTGCTTACGAGCTCAATATGTATAGCTTTAGTTACAAAACAAATCCATACGCATATATACGCCTTATCGATAGGAGATTTACGTCGCAAACTAGACCTTACATAAACTGGTCCGGCGAAATCGACACCACACTTGGAGAATGCCCTCGCTGGTTCTACTCGACTCTTCGGTAAATCGCCCATAATTGGCTGTACCACTATCGGTTTGTATTTAAAACATTTAACGCATTGTCTCGTAACCTTACGTGCTATATTACGACCGTTCAAAGGCCAATATTTGAGCCGTATACACGCCAACATTACCTGCGGTCCACCGTGTAATGTTATTTCGTGTTCGTTAAAAAACACGAGTCGTGTGAAATTACTGTCTGGCGGTAACAAAATAGGGTGTTTTTGAAAAACATCAATCATATCAGAATTTTTTAACCGACCACCTACTCTCAGTAGGCCGTTTTCATCTACGAATGGTTTGAGACGTAGTAGTCGACTGTTGGAGCTTATTGGTTCTGACTTAGATAATTTGATTAATTCTTCTTGCCATATATTTTTTTGTACTAATTTAACTGCCACCATATTAGCGTTATTTATCTCTTCTCGCTGAATCTGTCCGATCTTTTTCTCAGTGTTCTGTCTCGCGTTGTGTACAAACCGTAAACAGTAGGCAATTACGCGCAACAATTTCGATAAATTTGAAAATTTATTCAGAATAGTTATGTCACAAGTTATCAACATAACTGTTTTATAATTCGTTTTCTCTTCGAGTGTACAACTGTTTATCTCTATTACGTTATTTTTCGGCCATCCTTCTTCTTGAGCATTTAACCAGTCTGGGCCATTCCACCATAAGCTTGATTCAATTATTTTTGATGCTGTGCATCCGCGTGACACGATGTCTGCAGGATTATCTTCAGTGTTAACGTGTCGCCATTGTGATATAGAAGACAACTCTTGTATTTCACTGACCCGATGTCCGACGAAAGTTTTCCACTTCGACGCTGGCGCTGATATCCAAGCTAATACAATAGTCGAGTCTGTCCAATAATAAGTATTCTCTATGTGCAGTTGTAAACAGGGTATATATTTAGCAGCCAAGCGGGTTAATAACACGGCAGCCAAAAGTTCTAAACGTGGTAGCGTAATTGTTTTCAATGGGGCCACACGTGATTTGGCGCATATTAAGTTGGTCGTTATAGTGCCATCTTTATTTTGTGTGCGTATATAAAGACACGCCCCGTACGCGCTAATAGACGCATCCGCGAACCCATGTATTTGCACACTACAATTTTTACTTGAATCGGTTATTAAACGGTTTATAACTAACGAATTTATTGAATCCAAGTCCTCGCGATTTTTTCTCCACTCATTCAACAGATCCGTGGGTAGTGGTTCGTCCCAATCAACGCTAAGTTGCCATAATTTTTGCATAACTAACTTTAAGCGAACGGTTATTGGATTTATCAGCCCTAGTGGATCGAAAATTGACGCGATTTCTGCTAGCACGTTTCGCTTTGTAGCGCGTATATTTAACTGATATTTCTCGACTTTATATTGATACGAGTCGTTTTCTTGGTTCCAAAAAATACCCAAAAGTTTCTTAATTTTTTGCTTATCGATTGATGAATTCTTACTGTCGAGTTTATCATCTATCGTGGATAATCCACGTAATAATTCTGGTGCATTACTAGACCACTTGCTTAATTCAAATCCAGCACTATTTAATACTGTTATAATATCATCACGTATATTTATTGCTTCTTTTTTCGTACCGGCGCCGCTCAACAAGTCGTCCATGTAGAAATCTTGTCCGATCGCACGGTACGCGGCCGGGTAACGATCTTACATTTCTGTCGAAAGTTTTTGGAGACAACCTGTCGCTAAGTATGACGCCGTAATTATACCGTATGTAACGGTATTTAATCGATAAATTTGAATTGGCTTATCAGGATCCGAGCGCCATAAAATTCGTTGATAATCACGATGCCGCTCCGAAATCCAAATTTGTCGGTACATCTTTACTATGTCGGCAGAAATTACGTATTTATGTGTCCGGAATCGAGTCATAATACATATTAAATCTTCTTGGATACAAGGACCTTTACACAAAACATCGTTCAAACTCACGCCGGTGTCACTTTTGCTCGCGGCATCAAACACTACGCGCAGTTTAGTCGTCGTACTACTTTCTTTGATAACAGCGTGATGCGGTAAGTAGTTATATTGTACGTAAACATCGCGTTCTTCGTGTGGTACAATTTCCATGTGACCTAGTGATAAATATTCGTCTAAAAATGTTGTATATTCTATTTTAAGTTTATTATCGACTGCCAGTCGTCTTTCTAAACTCAAAAATCGACGTAGTGCGATATCGTATGATTTCCCTAGTTTTGACTCGTCTCGAAACGGTAATGATACGATAAATCGGTTATCCAGTGCGCGTTTTGTTGTGTTTTCGAAATAAATTTTAGCAGCCTTTTCTTCAGTGGAGTAAACATTGGAATGTATTTCTTCCAAACGCCAAAACTTCGCGATTTGCTCTTCTAAATTGGAAACCATCGGACTGGAGCCACTAAACAGCGATACACATTTATTTCCATCACGTTCGTGGTTTATTAGACCAGGAACGGGTCCCGCGACGATCCAACCGAACAAAGTTTTTTGAAATACGGGTCGTTGTAACGTAGGTTTGACTTGACCTGCGCAAATTAATTCGAAAAATATCTCCGAGCCGATTATCATGTCTATTTTCTGTGATAAATTGAATAGCGGGTCAGCGAGTTCAATGCCCTCTGGTATTTTTACGGCAGCCGAATTGATAGATATCGACGGGAGATAATTAGTTAATAAGTGTTTTCTCATTTGAATTATCATGAGCTAATATTACTGCGGTGGATAATAGTACCTGTTCTCGGACGTTTTTGTGTGATACGTGTACGTTGATGCTCGTTAACGGCTGGATATCATCTTTATCTTTATTACTCTCGTGATTATCGATACTTGCAGCACTCGACGACGTCGATGGGTCTGCCGTCTTATCGGACTTGTTCTGTCTAATTATGTGTAACAGACTGTTGTGTGGACGTGTACATTTCGGGCAGTTACGACTTTTACATTTTTCCCCGTGATGGGAACGCAAACAAACCTTACATAATTTAAGTTCATTGATCTTTTTTATTCGGTCGAAAATCGACAGATTTAAAAATATTGGACATTTATAAATCGTGTGCGATAATTTACAAACATAACATTTGATTTCTCCAGTGACTGAAAATGACATGGATTTATAAGCATCTCTTTTGGCTCTATTTTCTCGCGTAAGTTTTGAATTTGTGTTCGTATTGGTATTGTCAACTGACTCGATCGCTTCTAACATTCTGTATCTTAATTGCAAATATTCGAGCAATCGATCTACCGATATTGTTTGTAATTGATGTGTTTCAATTTCCCATTGCCGTAATGTAATTGAATCTAATTTCGACGTTATTAAATATACGATTAACGATCCCCATAATCTTGGATTTTCACCAAGCGTTTCGAGTGCTTTAAAATGACCTGATAACGAGTCGTATAATTTCCTTAATCGCTCCGCTGACTCGTCTTTGACCGGTTCAAGGTTAAATAGCAATTTCGTGTGTGTCTGAATTAATACTCTTTTATTGTTGTACCGATCAATTAGACTGTTCCAGGCTTTTTGATAATTTTCGGACGTAGTTTGCATACATTGCACACTTTTCTCCGCATCGCCACTGAGTAATGATCGCAAATAAAAGAATTTTTGAATGTCACTCAGTGCGTTGTTGCTGTGCACTAGGGCTGTAAATATATCGTAATAAGACGACCACTCAACATAATCGCCAGAAAAAGTAGGAATTTCGAGCGCAGCTAATTTTATCGCTGGAGTGACTAATTGAGTACTGCAGTTGTGCAATGGATTATTACGTATACTTTTCTCATCGCAGTCATTACGGTTGCTTAATAAACTCTTTATAACTCTGTCACAACTCGCCACACTTTTGAAGTATAATTCTTCGAACTCCGACCTGTATGCTTCGCTTTCTTCTGACACTCCTTTCGCTTCCTCAATTTGCGATTGTACTTGATTAAAATCTTCCCATATATCGTTAACCTTTTCTCTTTGATGAATTAGTTGTTCTAACTCGACGCTTTTGAACTCTTTGACGTAGGTACTAAAACGCGTAAGTTGACCCTTTAGTTGGCCACGACGTGTAATTAACGCGGGTACATCCGACATTCTTTATCATCTAATGTATTTCGAACGTATATAAAATGTAAGTTTACTCTAGTTTTATTACCAATTTAAGTCCAACCGAGTGTTGTGACTTGTATCGCGTATTTTAAACCATATTCTATACTGTACTATGTGCGCGAGAAACCACCACCGCGGGAAAGGGAATATATATAATGATATAAGAAAACTGACACTGACCTGATTTGTTCTACGAAATTCCAATCCAAACGTTGAAGTTCCTAATGCCGATAACGATGACGACGTAAATATTATATTATAAAAACTTTTAAATTATTTCATCCGGCTCGAAGGACCAAATGTTGCGTATATTAAAAAAATGCAATATTTCACATACGCCGATTTATTATAAATATAATTTCACTGGTTTAACGAGGTTCGAGGCG